CTATCGTCAAATTCTTCGGGGAACAGCTCCGATCTCGGACATCTCTGCTCGCCGGGTTCTTGCAACACTTCTTCGACACCCTTCTCTGATGGAGGAGTTGTCTGTGAAGGACTCAAAGGAGATCTTTTCCAGAGCATCAGGAATCACGGATGACCCATGGCCGCTTGATGAAATCTTAGTCGAGGAAGTCCTCCAAGGAGAACTTCGGGCTCGGCAAATGCGGGCTCAATCTACGGTTTGATTTCTCTAATCTCTTAGGGAGCAATATCTAATTGCTTGTTTATTAGGCATGCATCGCATTTTTATGCTTTAATTTGCTTATTTAGCCTTGATTATCTATGGTCGAGTTTTTTATGCCTAAAACTGCTTCTTGCTTTGATTTTTTATGGTATGTTAGTTTTGAGATTGTGCTGTTGCCTTGTGAAATTAGGATCCCTCTGCTGGTTTGTCTATTGTGCCTCTGTCTGCAATTCCCTTCACAGGTTCCCAACCTCAAAACACGGATAAGGCCACTTCCAAAAAGGCTGAGCATTCACATGATCCAGTCAATACTCCAGCCTCAGATCCAGTTATACATGATCCCGTCTCTGTTCCAGGATCTGTTCTAGAGGATGTTGAAGTTTCGATTCGGGACATAGTCTCTGAGCCTGAGGATCCATCCATTCAAGCAGCCATCATCTCAGACACCATTGCAAATATGCCAAACACTGCCCGTGCTGAAACGGCTGTTCCAGTTATCAGGGTGCCGTTTACGAAGGCCAAAGGGAAAGCCAAAAATACTGATCCAGATGAAGCACCTGCAGCAGCTCCAGTGGCTAAGAGAAAGCTTCACATGTCCGATGATGTTGAATTTGTCTCTGAATCTCGTCCTAGCAAACGGTCTGAACATCGGCCTACGGGTCTTGCTCAGCGTACACGATCGAAAACTGGCGTGTCTACTCCGGCTCCTCCTCCAGCTTCTGCTCCAGCCTCTGCTCCTGTTTCAAAGGCAGCTGCATCATCCAAGTCCAAGACTGCTAAGGTGTCCAAGGAGACCTTGTTCAGACCTATCTTGCTCTCCCCTGCATTGGAAACAGTATGGCAGCAGCACTCAAATCGCGATATCTTGGTTGAGAAGAATTTCAGTATTGAGTACCTCATTCGTGTGTGCAATATTATTCCTCTTCTTAAGGCTTAAAATCTTCTCCAGACTATCCAGAATGTGGGAGCCTACTCTGCCTGGCTTATTCCTGAATTCTACGCCAATCTCACATCTGATTCTCTTCGACTGGCTTCTCCGCATCATCATCAGGTGTTTCTTCGGGATGTTTGGTATGATTTTAGTCCCTCTATTATTAATGCTTATTTTCAGCGTGATGCGTGTGATGATCTTTTTGAGCCTGCTGGAGACTTTCTTGCTTCACATCTTACCCACAACGAGATCAACATCTGGCCAAAGGATGGTCTGCCCTCGAATGTACTTACTGCAATCTATTCGGTTCTCTTTCGCCTAGCTTTTAGCAATTGGATCCCAAATGTCTCTGTGCACACTGTCAATAAGAAGATGGCCTCTCTGTTATACAAAGTTCGACATCAACTGCCTATTGATCTTGGTCACCTCATCTATCATCACATCATGAGTTTCGCTAAGAAGAAGGAAGCCAAGATTCATCTCCCTTTTCCATGTCTTATCACTGGGATTCTGCAACAACAAGGACTTCAACTCTATTCCAATGAAGAGCTCTGCCATGTTACGCACAAGACTTCTATGGACTCTTGCATCTTCCAGAGATCGCACTATGATGATCGGGCCACTCTCTCCTCAGTTCCACCTGCCCCTGCTCCAGCTGATCGTCCAGCACCAGGCCTGGACTCCGCACCGACTGCTTCTGCTACTGATTCTGCTTTGACACTGGCTGTTCTTCGTCAGCAAGTCACCTTTCTTACTTCACACATTGCTACCATGAAGGATGCCTCTCTAACCATTCAATCTTCCATCTCTACTGCCGAGGCTCAGCTGCTCCGCACCAATCGCCAAATTGCTTCTATAGAGGATGCTTCTACTGCTGCTCCTGCTGGTGATGACGAAGACCTGGAGACCTCCTCCTCCTCCACCCAGTCCTGATGCTGCTCTTTGTCCATTAGATTGACAAAAAGGGGGAGTGCACTTAGTAAGGGGGAGTACGTGTTTTTGAGAACTTAGCCATAAGTGCCAGTGAATAATGTGGTGTGCTCTACCTTTATTTTGTTTGCTTTTAAATGTGTTAAGGTGCTGCGTGTTTTTGCCTTGACTATGTGATAAATGCTATGCAGTTATATTATGTGACATATATGTGTTCTGTGTCTTTTTGTGCTTTTAAATTTCTATGTGTTTGTATGCCTTAATTGTGTTTTGAATTCTCTGGCACAACATTGGTTAAGTTTAAAGGAGGGTGTGTGTCTAGCTACTCTTGACTAGTGACTAATCCGATCTCAATTGTATAGATTACTCATTTGGCAATTCATTTTAAAGCCGATGATATCTTTCAGTAGTTTTGTCAACTAATAGCTAAAGGGGAGATTGTAAGTGTAAATATATTGCACATTTAAACCTCTGTTTTATTGGCTTAGATTAGTTGCCAAAGTAGTCCTGGATTAGTTGCTGGATTAGTCACACGTCTGGAGTAGTTGACTGGATCAGCGCAAGGAAGTTATCCAGGAGGTATAAAGCTTGTTCAAAGTATTTATTCAAGACCCTATCAATGGGGAGATCTAGATCTAATGGAGCAGCCGAATTCAAGGAATGGAAGAGTGCATACTTTGAGGATCAAAGCATCATTTACAACCTATATATAATGCTATCTTAATTAGCATTAAAAATTGCGCACTCTTTCAAAAAGTTTTACACTGAAATCTTGGTGCATCTATACCAAAGATATCCTGTACTGTTGTGTGTGAAAAAGATCTTGCAATCAGATCATGAAGTAATGAAGAACGCCTGCATATCGGATCCACTGGAGTAGGTTCTGGAGTAGTTATAGGTTATACTGTAGAGTGTAATTAACTATCCTTTTGTACTCCGTTTTTTCATCATAGTGGATTTGGGTTGATGTGAGTGGCCCCGCAGACGTAGGAGTGAGGCTCCGAACTGCGTGAACATATCCTGGTGCATGCTTTCTTTTACTGCTATTTATTTCATGTTCTTTATTATATCTGGAATATGTTTTCATCTAGTCCAGCGTTATAATTGAAATAAATTAAATGTTCTAAAGGCTTTATCTTGCATTCAAGACTCACGTGCTTTTTCAAGTATGTTTGGATTATGATGCAAATATTTTTTTAAACTATAAGAGCATGTTTGGATTATTATGCAATGGTTTGTTTATAAACTGATGTGATGTGTTTTATGTGATAAGGGAATTACCCTTCAAAATTTACATACATGTGTAATGTGTTCTACATGTTTAAGTATTATTTATATTCTACAATGTCCTACAATATTAGTTGTTCTTAGGGGATTAGATGACCAATAGTTATATAGATGTGTCACATGTTTTACATGTTAAAGTTTTTAAAATATCAATTATATTTTATTATGTACTTCAACAACATTAGATGTTCTAAGGGTACACATTTGAAAAAAATAAAAAACATGCATCATGTGTTTTACATTTATATACAATTAAAATTATTATTTTTAGACTAAAGCAACTTTTAGAAAAGCTATTTAACATTTAAAAGAAACCAAAAGTATCACACGGTTTAGATATACTACACTCTTGTATAGTATAGAGAAAAACTAAAATCTTTTATATCTTTTAACAAAAGTATCGCACTGTTACATGCCCTACACTCATCTATAGAGAAAAAAATGCAATCTGTTCTATCTTTTTACAAAATTATCACACTTATTACATGCCATACACTCATCTATAGAGAAACAAATACAATCTTTTCTATATTCATTCATTACAAATGTGGATTGAGGTTGGTTGAGTCCATATGGTTGCAATGCTAGTATCATTTGTGCTGTGTGATTACTTGTGATATTTGAAGGTGAAATCCCTGAAACAAAAACAGAAAAAAGAATATAAAGTTAGGGAAATCTAATTTACTAGAGTATAGGAAATGGTTTATTCCAACAGTTTGCAATGTTCCTAACATTGGTGAGGGACTAACAGACAGTCATATAGAATAGGGCTAGAGATAACCAAGAATACTGCCTACACATTGTCCCACACATTGTCCCTGCAAATAAGAAAAAATTTGATTTACTACAGAATAGGCAAATGCCTACACATTGTCCCTGCAAATAAGAAAAAATTTGATTTACTACAGAATAGGCAAATGATGATTTTAGTAGTCTACTCTTTCCTCCTGAATATTATAGACATTCCAACCAACGCCAAATCCTTTTGTACATATAAAAGTATGCAATGACAAAAAACTCCTCTTGGAGATAATACTCATCTTGGAGTGTGCTCGTGACATAGACAACAAAGAATAAAAACACAGATTAGGGAGTAATTTAGAAAACTTAGAAATAATTTAGTTAACAAATAGATGATTTAAAATATACCTTTCTCTGAAGTTCCGGAGTTTCATGTTTGGAAAGATGTTGTAGGGCATCATAGGAACTACAAATCTTGATCTCCCCAGCTTCAAAAGGTCACAGTTTGTTGGTATAAGAATACACACCATTGGTGATTATTATAGATGGTGATAGGTAGTGTTACTACTACAGTTTAGGTGTGATTGTGATAGGCAGTGTGCGTGCAAGAAGGTGGCATGTATATGTTAGAATATGAGATATAGTATACGATTCAATACCAAAATAGTAGAATAGTATTTATTCATAAAACTCACCTCCTGGTCATGAAACGACCTATTTAGATCTCATGACCTACTGGTCATGAAACGAGTATTTATTCATAAAACTCACCTCCTGGTCATGAAACGACCTATTTAGATCTCATGACCTATTTAGATTTGATTTGCGATGGAGCGTTTTCTGTTTGATTTGCGATGAAGCTTTTTCTGTTAGGTATGTCGTATGCTTGTGTTCATTGGAGAAATCCGAGTGGCAAGAATGAGCATTGTTCTTCAGTATACACAGGGCTTTAAGCTTTTTCTGTCAGGTATGTCGTATGCTTGTGTATGCTTGTGTTCATTGGAAAAATCCGAGTGGCAAGAATGAGCATTGTTCTTCAGTATACGCAGGGCTTTAATCTTGGCAGAGTTTGTATTGAATATTGAGACTTGTTAGTGTTTGTATTGAAGAGAATGTGATGTATATATAGGACTTTAGATCTGATTTCTGCCCTTTCATTTACTAAAAAAGGTTTCAAACGATTAGTTGTAATTAATTATCTTGGAAAAAAGAATCCGGCTAATGGGTTTAATTATGTAAATAAATTTATGAGAAACTGAAGAGTATAATAGGTTTAATAGAATGCTTTAATATCATTGGCTTAGAAATAAAAAAGATTGGCTAAAATCTAGGGAACTGATAAGGTAACACGTTTTTTAACACAAAGCCTAATAAATTTTCGGCCATGTATGGAACGACGTCGTTGGGTTTGGGCGGGAAGTTTTTGCTCCTATTATTTTGCTTTAATATATATAGAGACGTTATGTAGATAACATAATTTGGATATACAAATTTATTTTTGGGGAATCCAAAAAGTAAACCAAAATCGAGAAATTACTGCCAAAAAGAAAATCTGATGGTTAACCACAAAAACATCAAAACGACGTCACTCCTGTTGGGCGGGAAAATGCTTGCATTAGATTGGCCATGGCTATATGGCTTTAATATATAGAAGGATTGCACAAACATGTGTGCACCGGCATTTGGCCCTGTCTACTAACCCATTGAGGGGGGAGGGGGGGCGGGGCTTAGGGTTGGGGATTCAGCCTTTTGGGGTAAGGAATTGTATTACCATAATTTTACAATATTGCACAAACCTGTATAGGAGTCTTTTGGACGGGAAGTTAAAATGAAAGATTTTGTTTTTATATATAGTGTAGATTATACTAATAATTGTGTTATTATTATCTTAATTAACATAAAAATTATCTCCGCAATTAATTTCTTAATTAAACTCATTAATTTTAATATATTAGTTGTTTTAATATTATATTGTGCAATTTGTTTAATGTTCAACTCATTCTATCTTATTCGAATTTGAGTAGTCACTGAATAATATTGTTGAGAATTTTAATTTTGTAGTACTAGTAGGTGCACCCGCGCGATGCGTGGCTATATGTATAGTATGATATATATATATATATATATATATATATATATATATATATATATATATATATATATATATATATATATATATATACAGTATAGAAAATAGAGTATTTGAACCAGAAAAAATTTAAAATGAAAAACTTGTAATTTTATTACACATGGATGAATTTAGTAATTTTATTAGACATTGTTGAAGACTTCATTGTTGAAACAATGTGATGCATGGCTACCTATATAGTACATAGAATATTACGTATAATATAATAAGAATAAGAAACATAGTATTTAAAAAATACTAAATTTTAAATAATAAATTGTGGAATGTTATTATACATTATTGAAGACTTCGTTGTACACAACATTTTTAGTCGTACTAAGACATGGTACATTTTCCCCGCAAATAAAAATTTTCAAACCCCTGGGGTTATTAACTCTTGAAACAGCTACGTACAATTGTCCATGGTTAAAGACAGGTTTTTTCAACAACAACCCCACTTTAGCAAGCGTTTGTCCTTGACTTTTGTTGATTGTCATGGCATAGGATAGCATCAACGGGAATTGCTTCCGTTGAAATTTGAAAGGCAATCTTGGATCTGACGGTATAAGTGACATTCTAGGAATTAATACTCTTGTTCCTGCATTTGTACCGCACATGATCTTGCCTTCCAACACTTGATCAGCTAACCTAGTAACAATAAACCTTGTACCGTTGCATAATCCTAGTGTGTGATCAATATTTTTCAAGAGCATAACAGGTGACCCAACTTTCAATGTCAAAGCATGATTTGGTACTCCAGAACATCTCAGGCCATTCAAGAATTCGGGAGTGCAAATTTATTGATATGCCATATGACAACATTAAAAATTGTTCTGGGTTATTCAAGATTTTAAAAATTGTTCAAGAATATTTATCTCACATTCTCCATCACTTGAATCACCAATGGTTTCATCACCTTTATTAGCAATCCACTTTGCAAATTCTTCAATCTCTTGAACTTCATTATCTGATTGCAAGGCCCTAAACCTTAGATTTTTGGTTAGCCTAAATACTTTACAGCTTCTCCAAAGATAGAATGAATTTATACTTGCTCCAACAATATCTTGCCTCGTCCCCTTTGGAATTACTGGTAGAATTTGTCTGAAATCTTCACCTAACACCACGATTGGGAAGCTACTGCAACTCTGGGTGTCGCAAAGTTAAATATAATAGACAAACTGTTAGCAGTACTAAAAAATAAAATAAACATGAGATAATTATTAACTAATGATTAACATTGCAGTTGTATTACACATTACTAAAAACTTCTTTGTATACGACATTTTAAGTCATACTTACACATTGTACATTATCCCCACATATCAAAATTTTTAATCATTTTGGATTACTTACCCTTGAAACTGCAACATACATTTAACCATGATAAAAGCTGGTATTCTAAAAAACAATCCAATATGTTATAGTACGTTTAGCCTTGTCTTTTATTTATTGTCATGGCATATGATAGCAACTCTGAAAATTGCTTTCTTGGCACAAGCTTTATTTCTTTTATTTTTTTTTTTCTAAATAATTCGGCCCAAAACCAACCCAGTAATGGAGCACATAACATGGGCAAATTATTGTGTGGACCACGGTCCACACAATGTTATGTGGACCATAACAAAAAGTACATTTTAATATATTAAATGTACATTATTGTTGTACTGTATGTACATTATACAATATAATGTACATCCCCTGAATACATTGTACATTATTTTTATACTGAATGTACATTATTTTTGTATTCATTGTACATTATTTTACAGTATACAAAATATGGTCTATACAACTTGTGTGGACCATAATGATTGCATGACCTGAACCCAATAAAACCATTAATAAAATATTTTCTCCTAACCCTAAGACCATCTTTAACCCTCTAGGAATATTTTCAGTATATTCTTACAACAAATTTTTTCTATCTTCAACCCATTACACCAAGTTTTATTTCTTTACTAAAATAATTTATTTTTTTTCATAAATTAAGACTTTGTATTATAACTTTAAATATAATTATAATGCAAATATTATTTTATTCCAAAATAATAAATCATAGAACATCTAAACATTTAATTTTCAGATGGGGTGACCATGAAGATTAGTACCTCTTCAGTATTGGTAATCTATTAAGTTTAACAAACAGTAAAATAATTTAATTAATTACACTTGCTTAAAATAGTTACACAATTGTTTGTTGTTGATTTTTTTTCTATAATCAGTTAAGCATCGAATGAGATCATAATATGTTGTTTTATCTCTATATATTTTTTTCCTCTATTTCTAACTTGTGAATCCAGTAATTCTATTACTCCGATTCATAAAGAAAAATCCTTTATTTGTTTACAAAATAATTTAACTTTATTGTCAAACTTAAATATTTTTAATATGAGCAACGGTTTTAAGAATATTAAATAATTCAACTCCACATGTGTGGTGTCATATATATAACTAGTTTTTGCCCCGTGCGATGCACGGCATAAAATTTAAGTAACTTTATTATTAATAATATTTTAAAAACAATAAAATAAAATATTAATCATGAAATTAAAACTTATTCTGAAATGTATTTTTCTTTAACAATACTAAATTGGTTGTTATATCGAACATCACATACTGTTAGCATATATTATAAAGAATTGTGTTATAACATACCACATGAGATTTAAAAAGTGTACATTAAAATAATTATATATATATATATATATACACACACACACACACACACACACACACACACACACACACACATTTTAAAAAAAAATTAAAAATTAGGAAATCAAACAATATACAATAAAAAATTATGAAATTAAATTTTCTTATATATAAAAACATTTATTAATATGATTTGCAATTAAAGCCTATAGTACATATACTTGACAATATATAAATAAAAAATACAGTATCATCATCATACATTGAAACTAACTACGAAAATCTTTTCTTAAACATTGCTTAATAATAATAATAATTATATACATACAACATATATAAATCTAAACTAAATATGAAATATTTCATGACATGAAAGAAAAAATAAAACCTGCAATGCTAAGCCCAATAAACATTTAATTATCTATCCATATAATCCAGTTACGTTGCATTTCAGCCCAATACCCGAGCCCATTAACCCAATTATAAAACCTGATTACCAAACCCTAATCCATATTTTTTTACGATTGCGCTTCCGTCTACTATGTTGTGTTCGTCATTCTCTCTAAAATGTTCACTGACTTACGCGAACCTTCTCTGTTTCCGGCATCTTGACACACTCGATTTTAAATCATCGCACGTCCAAGTAATCCACTGCTAAAAAACTTTTCAGATAATCTGACCGTAGCTTTTGGCCGTTGTGGAATTGCTTTCTTCCCCAAATGCCGATCTGAAAAATCGGGTGACCGGAGCAGATCTAAAACAAACTAATAAATACAGTATCATCTTCAGGTAAAACTTATTGTTTAAAACAAAATTAAGAAATACATCATATTTTCTACTTACTTAATATCAGTTCAATAATTATTTTTTTAAACTTATTCGTCTCTCCAATATTATTGTTCATGCAACTGATTTAAATTTTAAAAAACTTTTTTTTCAATTTAGTAACTGATTTAGTAACTTTTTTTTAAAAAAAGAAATTTTCCCTCTCAAAACTATATTAGAATGAACAATTAAATTGTTGTCGATCAATAAAATTGTAAGAATAAAAAAAAAAAAAACAGGTTAATCTTATTTTTTAAAATCGGATACTCTAATTTTTTTTCAGTAAACAATAAATTAATTTATATAATAAAATGTTAACTTAAAAATACTGGAATGTATTACCTGCTTCATCATTAAATAACAATAATTGTAGATGAACATGTATTGAAAATAGATAAGTATGTTGCATTATATACCTTAAAATGATGCAATTTCATTTAATTGGTATTTAATACCTTAAAATGATGCAATTTCATTTAGGCGGGAAATTGATTGGCAAAAAACATTTTGCTATTATATAGAGTAAGATAAGATCAGATAAGATGTGACATCATAATGCTTTAAGAATAGAATTTAAATAAAAAAAAAATCAAAACATTATTATCTTTATTAAAGTGAAATTTTTTTCAACAACAGAACTATAAAATCAAATATTATTAAAAAATTGCTTATTATGTTTCTTGAAGTTTTTAGTTGAGCCACTAAGATTCTTCAATAACAAACCAACATGTTATAAAGTTAATATTTTAATATTAAAATCTAACTCAATACAAAATTTGCCCAAATTTGAACTATTATGATATTAAATTATTGTTAGATAATAATGAAGCTAATGTAAACTGAAAATAAACGAGTAACCTGACTCGTTACAGCGGAAGAAATTGCCTCTGGAATGGTAAACCTGTAGAAAGTGTTTTGTCTACCACTTCTCTCCCGAATACTCGATGGTGCATGTATGCTGAACACGGGAGCTGTGGCAGGACTGTTTTGCTTAGAAGCCTACATGTCATCCACGTAGGCAGATATTCAGTTAAAGCTTAACTGAATATCCTGAGTTTCCTAACAGATTATTAAGCCACTAACTGACTTAATCTTCCACTTGCACCACAACCACCCAATAATACAATATATTATAATATATTATATTAGGGAAAATACTTACATTCTCCCACTTGGTGCAAGTACGGGCACAACCTTCATTAAAGAACAAAATACATGAACCATAGTAATACGTCATCTACTAATCAAGTGAGTAATATCTTCTATGATCACATGCATTTTAAATTCCCTAACTTAGGTTCTTTATGAACAAACCCTACGTTTATTCTTAGTCCCTTAATGGATGTTTCTCAAAATATATTATGTGCACAACTGAAGGAAGAAACCATCCAAATTCACTGTATGATCTCCAGAATCTTAGAAGCATGCCTTAAGTAGAGATCTCTTAATGTTAGCATAATGCTAATTATATTTTATGACTTGTTTATAAGTTAACATAAACACTACCTCTAACGGCTAAGAGCTTGGAGTTGACACGTCTGTCACTCCCACTCATTAAGATAGTAAAAATATAGTCAAGTCACAGAAACATTCCAATGACATAAACCATAAGGTCTAAGTCAATAATTTGGAATCTTAAACATACACCAACTTCCCAAATAGTCTCAAGGTTCACCTCGAAATTAATTGAACATAACGAGTCTCACTTATAGGTCTTGCAAAATTGTTTTGAGCCTTACAAATCAAAAAGGCCTAGGATCAATTTTGAAGAACCTAAAGACTCTATTAATTGCTAAAGAATTTATTAATTGGCAGTGCACCACAAAGTTAAATGATTTCGTTCTAATAAATTCATTAATATTGTTACAACATTTTCATAAATATGTTGCACAACCAAACGTTCGATAAAATGAACTTATGAATTATAAGAACAAAAAACTAAATTAATACTTGTGGAAACTTTTGGACTTATTGCTAGACGTACAATTCAATTTGGAATGTATGAAAACAATTAAATCCATCAGCTTTAGTGGAGTATTTTAATGATCTTTTCTAAATGATCACTCCCACTGATTAAGATATTCTTTAGCCAACTTAATGATATAACACTCATAATTGATTTGACCAACTAAATAATGAAGATATAATTACCCACCATTAGTTGGGCATACTAAATAATCAATATTTGGTTCCAATTATAGTCCAACTAAATGAATAATTAATGAGGACATGATTCTCCACCATAGTTGGACATACTAAAATAATAAAATACGCCTTCCAAAATCAAGTTGGAATTCGGCTCAGAAGATATATTTTATTATTGGAATCCATAAGAGGTATATCATACCACGCAACTTACTATAGTTAGTCCAAATAACCAAGTAAGCTTCGTGAAAAATAATTAATAAAAGGTGTATCTAAATTTTGGAAAGTGACTAAATACATGTTTTGCCAATGCAAACCATTAAACTTAGAATTATAATTGAACTAAATTTATAAATTCTAAGAAATTGGGATAAAGTTATTATCTAATGGGTTGATGAATTTATTGACATAAAACTTGCCTGTGGGCTAAAGTTTTAATTCTATTAAATTCAATTAAACAATTATGATAGTATTTTATCTCAATTACTAAATAGTCTGAAGAATCTAGTGACATAAAACTTGTCTGTGGGCTAAAGTTCTACTCAATTAGACCCAACTGAAATTTTATGATGAAACAATGAGTTGAAGAAGTAAGTGACATAAAACTTGCCTATGGGCTAAAGTTTTAATTCAATTAGATTCATTACAACCATACAATTATCAAATGGGTTGAAGAATCCAATGACATAAAACTAGCCTGTAGGCTGAAGTTTTAGTTCAATTAGATTCATTACAACCATTATGAGAAAAAACTTAAGAGATCATGTTCCTTATCTTAATCCCTGTGGGCAAATTAAGATATATGACCTAAAGTTTACATCATAAAATTAAACTTCATGATAGAGGTGAAAATTATAAAATTCTTTATTCCTATCAACACTGATAAAACTACTAAACTACATTCCGACTAGGGTTTTCCTAGGTTTTCAACGGTGGTCAGTTTCTTTCTGTCCGGATGATGGCCAGCGACGTTGTTATGGATGACGAATTGCTTGGGCGTGAGGAGGAGACAAGAGCTGGGCAAGAACAGAACGGCGAAAGGCTGTCGGCTGGAACTCCAATGCGCCGAACGGGAACTGTAATGCAGCGAGACGGTGGAGGAGATATGGCTGGGAGGGAAATTCGCAAAACTCACGTGTTGCCTATGGGGAATGTACAGCGTGAAAGAGGGGGAGAGGGTAGTGGCGGTGGGTCTAGTTGGCCATGTGCATTGAAAGTAGAAGGTGGCAGTTTGGCGTGTAATGTTGGGGGCGGTTTGGATGGAAGGGGGACGGGTAGTAGGGGCAGCGAGGGAGGGAAGAAGGGGCGATGGGAATGGATGAGGTTGGAGGCAATAACACTGGTTTGCGACGTGGGGATAAAGGGTTGGCAGTTGAGGTTGGCAGTACGGTTGGGGGTGTGGGTAGCAGTAGGGGGCAGCGTGGGGGGGAGGGAGATGGGGCTGGTAGGACGGTGGAGGGGGTGGGGGATGTTGCGGGTTTGGTGGATAGGTGGGCGGAATGGGCATTGATGGAGGAGGAAGGTGCGGTGTTCATGCCGGAAGGAGGGGATACGGGTGAAGAGGGTGGTGGGGAAGGAGAGGAGGAGACATGGAGGGTGGTCGGCAGATTTTTGACGCAAAAGTTAATAAAACTGGATTTTATGAGACAGGTATTAGCTTCAGTTTGGCAGCCGGTGCGTGGGGTGCATGTAACGGAGATTCAAAGGGGTTTGTTCTTGTTTGTTTTTTCCCATAAAACAGATATGGACTATGTTCTGGATGGGGGTCCCTGGGCTTTTGAGAATAATGCACTTGTGTGTCGGGAGGTGTTGGACGGGGTGAATCCTGTGGATGTGGAGCTGGATATGATTGATATGTGGGTACAGCTGCATGACATGCCGAAGGGGTACACATCTCATGCAATTCTGGAGCAGGCGGGGAATTTTTTGGGGTCTTTTGTTAAGCATGATGAGAGATTTGAAGGGGCACCATGGTTAACCTTCCACCGTATTCGGGTATCAATTTCGGTTGATAGGCCGCTTAGGAGAAGGATGAGGTTGATGAAGAGAGATGGGACTACAGCATGGGTTAATTTCAGGTATGAACGGTTGCATAAGTTTTGCTACTTTTGTGGTTATATGGGTCACTTGTACACTTTCTGCCTACAAGCCATGGAGGTGGGAATTCCAGTGGAAAGGTACCTGTACGGTCCGGATATGCGGGCTGGTGGGTCCCGGAGCGCTCCTAGAGCGGATGGGGATAACTGGCTCGTGCCGGTAGGTGGGAGACCACGTCCATTGGTAGTAAAGCCACGGATGGTAGAGGCAGTAGACGGGGGTCGGGGAGGTGGGGGAGTCACGCCCACGAGTATATCTGAGGATGAGGTGGTGGTGGCTACGGCAAAGCGTCGTAGGCATGGGATGGAGTCTGGGGAGAATGGTGGGAATGATGAGATAGCAAACATTGCTGGTTCAAAAAACTTGTCCATGGCGGGAGCTAGTGTCCAGCCCCGCCCGTCATCATGAGTACTTTGAGCTGGAACTGTCGTGGCTTGGGCAATCCACGCACAGTTCGACAGATTGTGGGTCTAGCGACCAGTAAGAAGCCTGATTTTGTGTTCTTGATGGAGACCAAGGTACCACGGGTACATGCGGAACGGATCCGTGTTACGCTTGGGTATGAGGGTTTGTTTTACGTTGATAACGATGGTTTGAGTGGAGGAATGGCTTTTTTATGGAAGAAGAATAATACAGTGAGACTTTTAAGCTACTCGCAGAGTCATATTGATGTGGAAGTAAGCTTGTTTAATAAGTTGTGGCGCATGACATGTATTTATGGTATCCCCGAACGTGGTAGGCGGGAGGAGACATGGGATTTACTTGGTACTCTGAAAGCTAGGTCTTTGTTGCCCTGGGTGGTGATAGGTGACTTTAATAATCTACTATATCAGCATGAGAAGAAGGGGGGAAATCCGTATCCTAATAGTTTGTTACGGGGTTTCGGAGATGCTGTGGATGATTGTGGTTTGATGCAAATGCCAATGAGAGGTCACCAATTTATGTGGCAGAAGGGGAAGGGGACGCCGAATTGGATAGACGAAAGGTTGGACAAGGCTTTAATAACGAATGATTGGGGTCTGCTCAATGAGAATGCATGGTTGGAGAATATTCGAACTCGGGCCTCGGATCACTCAATCCTTTTCCTCAGTATTAATGCGATTTGCATGCCAAGGGGAAGGGGGCCGCGGAGATTCAGGTTTGAAATGGCTTGGCTGTTAGATGAGGAGTGCAAAGAAGTAGTAGAAACAGCCTGGCAAGAGGGGAAGACGGAGGGATTGCTGCATTGTCAGCAGTTGTGTGGTGAAAAATTAATGCGGTGGGGGGGAGACCAGTTTCATAAATTTGGAAAACGAATTAACCAGCTACAACAGAGGAAAGATGCCATACGGAATAGGCGAGATTTGGGAGCGCTAGCTGAGTACCAACAGATTGAGAATTCCCTGAAACGAATAGAGGCCCAAGAGGATGTGTTCTGGGGGCAGCGAGCCAAGCAGCACTGGCTACGCGGGGCTGACGCAAATACAAAATTTTATCACAGGTATGCCTCTGCACCTAGGAAAAAGAATTTTATTTCTAGTATTAAATGTGATGCTGGTAACTGGGTGGAGGGGGATGATATGCATGCTGCTATACAAAATTACTTTGACAATATTTTTGCCTCTAATGGATTGAGTTGTGATAATCCGCTTTATGGGATCCTAGCCCCACGAGTAACATTAGAACATAATATGATGCTTGACCGCCCCTTTGAAACTAATGAGGTTAAAGAGGCCCTTTTTTCAATGTATCCGGATAAGGCACCGGGTCCGGATGGATTAAACCCGGGCTTCTACCAGCAGTTTTGGGAGATAGTGGGAGGAGATGTATCTGGCTTTATAACGAATGCTTTGAATTCCTGTGTATTCCCCGAGGGATTGAATGATACTAGCATTGTTTTGATACCGAAGAAGGAGGTGCCTGAGACAGTTGCAGATTCAAGGCCGATTGCGTTGAGTAATGTTATTTACAGAGTTATGGCCAAGATGATAGCAAATAGGATGAAAACACTAATGGGAGGATTGATATCGGAATCCCAAAGTGCTTTTATTCCGGGAAGGCTAATCACTAACAACATCCTGGTGGCGGCTGAGGTGGGGCATTATCTGAATAGAAAGCAATGTGGTATGGTGGGGTGGAGTGCATTGAAGTTAGATATGTCAAAGGCCTATGACAGAATGGAGTGGAACTTTCTAGAAAGGATGCTGACTGTTATGGGTTTTAGTGAGAAGTGGATAAAGCTCATTATGCTGTGTGTAACGACTGTTAGTTATACTGTAATGATTAATGGTATAGCAGGGGCACATAAAACCAACCAGGGGACTCAGGCAGGGAGACCCTCTCTCTCCGTATCTATTTATTATTTGTGCAGAGGCTCTCTCGATGATATTACAGTATGAACAGTTGGCAGGCTCAATACATGGGTGCAGAGTTGCAAGGGGGGCACCGCCTGTATCACACCTATTTTTTGCGGATGATAGTCTCTTATTTTTTAAAGCAAATATCCAGGAGGCGGGAGTTATAAGGCAGTGCCTAGCAAGGTATGAGAAATTGTCAGGCCAGGTGGTGAATTATAATAAATCTAATATATGTTTTAGCAGAAATACCCAGGAGGCTGACATGGCGCAGGTAGTGGATTGCCTGGGGTGGTGCAAGCACCCAATTTTGGGAAATATTTGGGCCTACCTTCCTTTGTGGGAAGAAATAAGAGAGCTGTTTTTTCGTATGTGGAGGAAAAATCAGGCAACGAATTGGTTCGTGAGGTAAAAAGTTACTTTCTCAGGCTGGTAAGGAAGTATTATTGAAAAGTGTAGCGCAATCTATGCCTACCTATTTGATGAGTGTTTTTTTGTTACCTGAGACAGTTTGTCAGTCAATTGAGCGAACTATGAATAAGTATTGGTGGGGGAATGGAAGAGAAAGGGGAATACATTGGAAGGCATGGGACAGGTTGTGCATACCAAAGAAGTATGGTGGTATGGGTTTTAAAGAGCTAAGGGCTTTTAATTTAGCTATGCTGGGTAAACAGGCATGACATTTTTTAACGAACCCGGGAACTCTCGCAGCAAAAATTTATAAGGCAAGGTATTATCCCACAACCAGTTTTACAGATGCAACAATTGGTAATTGCCCAAGCTACTGTTGGAGAAGTATAATGGCAGCCCATGCAATGGTAGTCTCAGGGGTGCGAAGGAGAATTGGGAATGGACAGACAACTTTAATATGGGGGCATCCGTGGTTACGAGATAATCCTAGCCCATTGATACAAACAGAAATGACACATCAATTGAGAGAGGCACGAGTTGCAGGATTAATTGATTTACAGACTCATACCTGGGATCCACATATTTTGTCTGACTTGTTTATTCCTGAAGATGTGGAGTGAATAAATATGATCCCTATTAGTCCTGAGTACGAGGACTCATGGTATTGGATGAGTGACCCAAAGGGGACATAGTAAAAAATGCCTATAGGCGTATTGTGGGTGATTATGAGAATAATCCCGCGAATTTTGATAAATGGGTAGCAATGTGGAAAATAAAAGTCCCCCCAAATGGAAAACTTTCTTGTGGAGAGCCATATGTGATATTTTGTCAACAACCCTTAACTTGATATTTAAAAGGGTGGAGGTGGACCCAACATGCCCAATGTGTGGTTTAGATCATGAGGATGTGTTGCATGCTTTAGTGCTCTGTGAATATTCTAGACTTGTTTGGAATATAACACAATTACCTATCACTAATATTGTTGCAGACTCTTTTACAACATGGCTAAAAGGGGCTATGGCGGTCTTGACGGAGGAGCAGACCCGGTTAATGGTAGCAATTTTATATTATATTTGGAGAACCCGGAATTCAGCTGTCTGGAAGGGATCAATGATGCGGCCTGCACAATTAGCCAGAGCAGCCACCGTAGCACTGCAGGCGTACGGCGCTGCCCATGTCCGCCAAACCGAGCCGGCAGCGGCATCGGAGCACTTAAACGGTCCAGGGGAGGGCGATCTACGGTGTTATGTGGACGCAGGTTTCCGGCACGACACGGGCGAGGCTACCTACGGCATGATAATAATAGCGCCAGATGGCTCTTTTGTGGCAGCAAGGAATGGCAAATTACCAATTTGTTCTTCACCACTTATGGCGGAGGCCCAGGCATACAAGGAAGCACTGTCCTGGCTACTTGAATGGAACAACACAACAGTAAGTTTACTCACGGATTGCATGGAATTGTCTACGATTATCCGACACCATCACATGCCGATCCATTCGTACGTTGGGGTCACAATTGACCAGTGCAGAACGTTCATGTCTTTATTTAATCGTATTACTTTGGATTACATCTCTAGACAGGTTAATTTACATGCGCATACTTTAGCTACGTTAGCATTTACACAGGATCAAGCAATGTACTGGGATGCTATCCCACCTGATGCTATTTCGGCTTTGATTCATTAATAGAATCGCAAGATTGACCTTCAAAAAAAAAAACTACATTCCGATACATAATTGCCTGTGGGCTAAATTATGATCATAGTTCAGTATTTCATCCTAATTAATCATACAAATATAACAAAATTGCCTGTGGGCTAAATTCCATCATATTACATACAATTAATCACAATTGATATGTCTAAAACTTTATGTGACCCTAACAACTCAATATATAATTTTAACTGATTAAGGATGATGTGGCTACTCCCCAACTAATTAAAATTATAGGATCACTAGGCATTTATCATTGCAATCTTTATGTGATTTGAACTTTAGACAATTTTTAGTAAATTAAAGATGCTGTGGCTACTCTTTAATTAATCTAAAATTGTTATCACTTGGTAAAAGGAGAATTTAAAGCCTAACAAACAAATTAAACCAACACATGAAAGACAATTATTAGGTATACTCCCAGGAAAGTTGGTCGAGACGAAGCTCGGTTAAATACCAACTCCTTAGACAGAGTAGCGTAGCAAGGGGACTAGTAGCAACAAGGCTTTTAAGCCAGGGCCATAGAACTAGTATTCCTCCCCAAGAAACTTCCATAAGTCATGCATTCTCATGTTTGAAGTAAAATCGTTTGGGAGATCTATAAGATTGTAGATTCACCTATGGATAAGGCTTTAAATTGATGAACTAAATTAACAGACTAAATGTGCTTAAATTCAGGCACTACCGCAGTTAATTTTATGCATAAAGTTCAACTTAATAAGGAACTAAATCCATTCTCAAACTATGCTTTCTAAAGGCATAATAAATCGCATAATCTAAAATAAAATATTATACTTAGAACAGATATGCATAAAATTAAATAATAAACTCATATATTCCAAATAAATTGCATAAATGAAAACAATTTTAATATGAGCAATAACCTCAAAGTATACAATTAATATTCAAAACTAGTATGACTTCTCACCAAAAGAAATCCAAAATTTGAAT